AGATGGTGTGGGCGGGGGAGGTGAAGTGGAAATGTAAGAACAAAGAGGATTATGAGGATTAGGAAAGTCAACGTTTCAAGCCGAAACCTTTTGTTCTGAAACGTTGACTTTCCTGACCCGCTGATGCTGTCTGATCTGCTGTGTTTGTCCAGCTCTATGTTTATTGGCTCTGGACTTCCAGCATCTGCGGTCCTTGCTATTTCTGCAGACATATTATGGTCAGTTTCTGAAGTTGTGGATTATATATATTGGCCAATTTTATTGAGCAGAAAATCAGGAGTGGATAATGCCATCCTCTGTGTTTGATTCTCTGAAGCAGCAGGAGGATCAAGGGGGTTATCTTCGGCATCGGGCTAAACAGTTGTCAAACCATAGCAAGTGAGATTACGTGGCACCACCCTGCTCCAACATACCCAACCCAGAGGGACAAACCAATGAGACCTGGGAATGAACAGAATGATCACACTGGAGCACCATTTAAGAGGTCGCAAGACAAGTTGGACCAGTGTGTCTCATTCACCCATTTTCTCCTTCTAGGAAATGACAAAGTTTAGAAAACAGAAAACTGGAAGCTGCTGTATTTTATAGTGTGGCTTGTAGGTTTCTACACTGTGGCACCACACTGGGTTACCAGTGTCACTAGAGGAATTGGAGTACAGAACCACCAGGGTCTTACAAAACCGTGGTCAGGCTCTAACTCTGAAGTATCTGCATTCAAAACTGGACACTGCATCTCACAAAGGATATAATGGACTCTGTGGTTGCAGATTGATTCAACTGAATGATACTGTGATAAGGGGGTGACATTACAGGGACAACTCAAAACTTAGTTTGTATTCCCATGAATTTAGAAGATTAAGGTGTGATCATATTGTGATGTTTAAAACAATAACAATGCTTTAGTGTGATTTAGACAAGTTGAGCGAGTGGGCAAATGCATGGCAGATGAGGTGTAATGTGGATAGTTGTGAGGTTATCCACTTTTGTAGCAAAAAAAAAGGAAAGCAGATTATTATCTGGAGGCAATAGTAGGGGTTGGTCTAATGAGCTGCTTCTCTCAGGGGACAGCTTCTCCAGATGGGAGCGCACGTCAGGGGGATGTAGGAGGGGGTAAATCTTCACATACACAGTGTCTCTTATAAAATGATTAGCAACAGAGTGCTGCAGCATAACATTTAAACAGACCATCCTTCTGGATCATGGCGCTGTTCTTCGTGATTGTGGCATCATCACTCAGTCCGCACATATTCTCGGAAAAGATTCTGAAGTAATACTCATTCCCAATGATGAGTTCGGATATGACGCAGTTGGTTCTGTGGTAGTGTTCAGCGACTGTGTACCAATCCTAAAGAGGGAATGGTATAATCTTAGTTAAATATGCCATTGTTTTGTTTGTTCTGTCACTCTTCAGTCTCTATAAGGCTATGAGATGGGCACAGACCCAACTATAAGGCTATGAGATGGGCACAGGCCCAACTATAAGGCTACGAGATGGGCACAGGCCCAACTATAAGGCTACGAGATGGGCACAGGCCCAACTATAAGGTTATGAGATGGTGACAGGTCCAAAGATAATGTTATGAGATGGGGACAAGGCCAACGATAATGTTATGAGATGGGGACAAGTCCAACTATAAGGCTACGAGATGGGCACAACTTATTTGACCTGTCCTCATGAGACAGTTCCTCCATACTTGGTAACCAAAAGAGCTGCGGATGTTGTAAATCAGAAACAAGAACAGAAAAGCTCAGCATCTGTGGAGAGAAATCAGAATTAATGTTTCGGGTCTTCCGTTCTGAGGAAGCGTCACTCGACCAGAAACGTTAACTCTGATTTCTCCCCACACATGCTGCCAGACCTGCTGAGCTTTTCCAGCAATTTCTATTTTTGTTCCTCCATACCCGGGATCAGCCTAGTGAACCTTCCCTGGCCTGCCTCCAATGCCAGTATATCTTTCCTTAGATAAGGAACCCAAACTGTTCACAATATTCCAGCTGTGGACTAACTAGTGCCCTGTATATTTTTAGCCAAAGCTCTTGATTTTTTATAGTCCATTTCCTTTGAAATGAAGATCAGTATTCCATTTGCCTTCCCTATTACCTGCTGACCTTGGATGTTGGCTTTTTGTGGTGTTAGGTATTTGCATTGAAGGACATGGCAATGGGACAATCTTGCCACTGATATAGTTCTAGAATCATAGAATGATACAGAACTGAAGAAGGCCATTCAGCCCGTTCTATGAATCAGCACTCCAATTAGTCCTACTCCCTTGTTCTTTCCCCACAGCCCTTTTTCCCCACTTTCAACTATTTATTCAATTCTTTTTGTAAGCTACGATTGAATCTACTTCGTTTTGAATGGAGGATCATGTGCTTTTTTTCATCTGTCTTCTCAACCGCCCTTCCATCTTTGTGTGTATATAACCTCCGGTCTCTATTCCCACATCCTCCTTTATAGTGGGATATATATATAATATCACTGTCCTGTTTACATTGCCTTTCCTTAGATTCCTTTCCAAGATGTGTCTCCACCACAAATATCACAGTTAAATTTTCTCTATCTCTGCCCACATCTTCAAGGATTGCTTAATGTCCTCCTTAAATCTGTAATTATCCTCCATGTTATTGACGGATTGTGAGCGAGAGAGGGTGAGTGGAAGACAGTGAGGGAGAAAATGCAAGGGAGAGAGGCAAAAATAGTGAGACTGAAGGAGAGAGAAAAAATGTGAGGGAGGTAGAGTGAGAGAATGAGAGAGAGAGTGAGAGAAATTATGAGAAAGCAAAGGAGCTAGACAGAAAAAAATTTGTGAGAACAAGAGTGTGGGAAGAATATATGTGAGAGTATGAAAGTGAAAGAATGAAAGAGAGAGAGGGTGAGTGAGAGGGACAGAATGTAAAAGGAGAATGTGAGAGCAGAGAGAGTGAGTGAGAGAGAGTGAGAGAGAAAGCAAGATAGTTATGATTTCATACTCACCATGGTCTTTTTATCAGCTTTTTGAATGGTGTAACCTGTAATACTGGCATTCCCATCATCCTTTGGTGGTGTCCACTCTAATGCCACATTAGTGTCCCAAATATCGACTATCTTCACTATCATTGGTGGACCAGGTTTCTCTGTGGAAAGAGTCACAAAAATAGCAATTTTTCTTGTTTTTTGGCAATTCCACATTGCTCATTTGCGAAACTGATCTCTGCCATAATTTCCCCCTTTGTGTCCTTAACTGTCACCAGAGCAGCCAAAATACAATCCACAGAATTGTATTTGTTGTGCTTTGGCACCAGATGTCCCAAAGCCGCTTGAAATTTATTCCAGTTTGTGGCATCAACTCTTTAAGTCACAGCCTACCTCCTACCATTGTCTCTCACTATCTAAGCTGAGCTCCCGCTATATTTTTATTATTTATTCACACTAATTAGACTTCAAGGGCATTTGTTACCCCTGAGAAGGTGGCAGTGAGCCACTTACTCAATACAACTGAATGTCTTTCCAGGCCTTTTCAGGGGCCAGTTAATAATCAGCCACGTTACTGTGCGTTTGGAGTCATGTGTAGGGCCAGACCAGGTAAGGGCATCAGTTCAGGAGGAGGCAGTGGTCTAATGATATTATTGCTGGACTGTTAATCCAGAGACCCAAGCTGGGGACCTGGGTTAATCCTGCCACAGCAGATGGTGGAATTGAAATTCCATAAAAATCTGGAATTAAGAATAACAAAAACCATGAATCCATTGTCGATTGTCAGGAAAAACCCATCTGGTTCACGAATGCCCTTTAGGGAAGGAAACTACCATCTTTATCTGGTCTGGCCTACATGTGACTCCAGACACACAGCCAATGTGGTTGCCCTCTGGGCAATTAGGGATGGGCAATGGATGTTGGCCTAACCAGTGATACCCTCACAGTGTGTATAAAATAAAGTCTCCTTCCTTAAAGAACATAAGTGAACCTGATGGTAGGGCAGGTGGGGGCAAATGCAGGGGGTTTTACAACAATCCAGTAGGTTTATGGTTATCATCACTGAAACAGGGTCACTCATTCCTGACTTAGTTACACAAATTTAAAATTCCCCAGCTGCTGTGATGGGGTTTGAACTCAATCCTCTGGGCCACAGTCTACTCTCTTGATCACTAAGCCTCTCCGCTCCCATTTCGGAGGGTCATGTCTAGGACAACTTGTCAGCCAAGTCCACTTTCCTCCAAAATGGACAATCAGATTTCGAGAGTGCCTCTCCTTCCAACTGGAAATTGATGACTTATGGAATTTTCTACAGTCAGTCAATACTGGCTGTGCAATCTACCAACCAATTAGAGACATCAAGGACCCATAATTCTGCCTTTATCCTCAAACCTTCCATCCAAAACCCCTCCCCAAGACATCCATTTCTGAACAAACCCAGAGGATCCTCACTGTCTGCTCTTAACTCTGAGAAACAGGATGTACCCTGCCTCAAGATTCACCCTGCCAAATACTGCTAATGTTGTCAATTTCAAAGGAGGAAGATAAACCGTTACAAATTTGTCCATCAAGTTCATGCCAACAGTATAGCCTCAGCAAACAACATGTCTTAGACACACGGTTAATTTGTGAGAATTCACAACCTGATTGCTAAGCTGACACCCTCCCAGAAGGGAAAGTGGCTTCATCTAGGGGCTATAGGAATTGGGTGGACATTCTTAATGGGGGGAGTGTTTTATGGGCTCCCACAACCCATGTAACTCCAGAATTTATGTTCCGAGCTCAGATCTCCGCTTGACAGGAATCTTTGGACATGGATCTGAGCCTCGGACCTTGTGATTTGGATGGGGTGCAAGGGTTAGGTCGAAACTTAGGCCATTCAGCCCTTTGAGCCTGCTCCACCATTCAATACAATCATGGACCGATACTCTATCTCGATCTCACATTCCTAATTTTGCCCCATACGCCTCAACATCTTTAAAATCCAAAAAGGTTAGTTAAAAAACGTGTCTATCTCTTTCTTGAGTATGTTCAGTAACTTGGCGTTTGCAGCCTTCTGTGGTCGAGTATTCCTTAGGTTCCTCTGAGATCCATTGAAGACTGGGGCAGAAGAGATCCACATAAACCAGGTCATGGGCTCCAGGAAAGTGAAATGCAGCATTGAAACTGCCTGATACCAAACTCAGTCTCTCACACATGCACCACATCCCCAAGTCTTTTCCACTGAGCGGCTAAGTCCCGGGACTGTGTAATTTTGTAGTTCTGGTTCACATACCAACAACCTGAACGATTATTGTAGCTTTGTCCACAAGCTTTTCCACTTGGACTGTTAGCTCGTAGTGGCCTGAGTTTTTACGCTCAGCTTTGCGGATGAACAGCACTGTGTCTGATTCCGTGGTGCGAACATTAATTGTACTTAAATCCAAAGGAGCGTCATCCTTTGTCCAGGTGACCTTTGGCCTGGGTTTACCCTGGTAAAAGAGGTTAATTGTATAAATCAGTGCCTGAACCGGTTTTAATGCAATATTTGTTTTGTAACAATGGATGGAAGAATCTTCTTCAAGTTGTGGCTGTTAGAAGACCGTACCACAAAAAGAAGCATCTTGCACTTCTAAAGCACCTTTCTCAACCTTAAGGCATCCCAAAGTGCTTCACAGCCAATGAAGTATTGTTCAAGTGTTACAATGCAGTAAACATGCCATCCAACATTCACACAACAAGTTCCCAAAAGCAGCAATAACCAGACCTTTTGTTTCTATTGCATCTTGTCAGAAATCACACGACACCAGCTTATAGTCCAACAGGCTTATTTGAAATCACAAGCTTTCAGAGTTCACCTGATAAAGGAGCAGCGCTCCAAAAGCTTGTGATTACAAATAAACCTGTTGGACTATAACCTGGTGTCGTGTAACTTCTGACTTTGTCCACCCCAGTCCAACACTGGCACCTACACATCATGGCTTCTATTAATCTTGGTTGAATGAAAAGTTTTGGCCAAAATACAACGATCCCACTACTTTCTTGTTACTGTATTGTGTTTACGGTAAACATGGCTGAATGCACTTCACCTGATTTTCATACCTGAAACCTTCATGAACTAAAGTAACATTTTACAAAGGACAAATATTGACCTAAAATGGCTGCTACAATGACCTGACCATGAGCCAAACTTATGAAATATCAATAAACATGGAACTATCCAAAGTGAAATTAACCTCTTTATAAAAGGCTCTGAAGCTCTGACCTGGAAGCTACAAATGTGGATTCAATTTACAGGCAGATCATCCAGCTTGGAAAAAAAATACAATAATGCCTGACACCAGAATCTACAAATGAACTACATTTCAGGCAACATCTCGTGAGCTGCAAAGCACAGAAAGAAATAAAAATGAACTGCTTTTGGCAAAAACACTGTCCACTCTCTCCCCCTGCCTGTCCGAAACTCAGGAACCAGAGCCCATTGCAAAAGCAACTTATGGAAACAGTTATTCACAGAAAGCTCAAGGATATCTGTAAACTGCACCAATGCTGAGGAAACAAGACAACAACTAATTGCTCTCAAGTTTCATTCTCACAATTCAAGAATTTTAGGAACTTCAAACTGCGATTACTTCAACTTTTCTGTCTATACCATACACATTCCTTTCTGTCTATACCATACACATTCCTTTCTGTCTATACCAGGCACATTTCTTTCACTAGGTCTGGCAGCACCTATGAAGAGAAATCAGTGTTAACATTTTAGGTCCAGTGACCCTTCCTGAGCTGTTCCAGCAATTTCTCAGAGATAGTAGGAACTGCAGATGCTGGAGTCTGAGATAACACAGTGTGGAGCTGGAGGAACACAGCAGGCCAGGAAGCATCAGAGGAGCAGGAAAATTGACGTTTCG